ACGCTTTAACCATTAGGCTACCCCACCGCCCGGGTGGCTTGAAGCTGGTGCTAGATGGTCACATGTACACTAAACATGCAACTCGCAAATCAAAGATTGTTTGGAAGTGCAGCCGTTAGTCAAGTAGTACCTGCCAGGGCAAAGTTTGGACTAGCTTGCAAAATAAAAACCCAGAGGTGACCAAGTCTCATAACCACTCTCCTGATGATGGTCAGGTATGCTAACCAAACTCCGTCTGTCAATGAAAAGAAGAGCAGCTCAGACAACAGACAAACCAGGGCAAATCTATGCGAAGGTGGTATCAGAGATCTTAGTGAGATCCCAGAAGAGTTCAGGTGGACTTTCGGAGATGCTCCCGAAAGCTTCTTGATCTACGAATCTACGACAAATTCTTGTAAATGTATCAGTACAGATGAAATTTTTTGTCAATTGACATTGTTGTATGTGAATAAAATTAAAACAGATTAAAGTTATAGGAACAATATCAGGCCATTACCTTGTTCGAGGAATGTATCCATCAATATCCACAAAACTGTTCCAAATGATGTGTCTTTTAACAGTTTAATATACGAAAAAGTGATAAATCTTTTCAGATATTGGTGTATAGTCTCATTGGTCACCCAAGATAGCACACCTGGCAACTAATTGCATAATGTCCGCCTTTCCTTAAAAACAGTCATTTAGTTAGCCAATAATGGGCAATCAATCAATGTATTGCCGGTTAATCCTTTGAAAGAAGGACGTTGTTTTTACGCAGACACTGACACGACAGAGTGTATTCAGTATAGATTAGTAAATCTACATACATAAACACTACCTTTTGACAATTCCGCTGTGTAAGATAAAAGTAATTAATCAATCAGCGTGTTATCGGTTAATCCTTTGATCGATGTTTATAATGTTGAATATTTACTCCAGACACAAGAAATGCCAAATGGGAACCTTTGTCGGGTAATCTAAGTGTGTTACCACTAATTATACCAGGTATAAATTCTTTAACTGACCATCAAGTAAATGATGACAAATAACATGTGTAGGTTTATACCACCTAACACGGGTTACAACAAGGGAGTATTAATTGCTGTATTGCATGTGAAAACTTATGGGCCGACACTGTTTTGAGAATACAAACAGATTTTTACATGACATGATTAAATATCGAGGTAAAAAAACACAGAAATGGGATCAATTTGGATCAGTCATTATACAAATAGGGCCTAACGACACCAATCGATTTTGACAGAATCGTCTATGAAAACAAGTTGCAACTCGGAAACTAGGCAAAGCAGGAGACAACATTAAATGAAAGTAGATTGTGAGAACATATAGCTTTCATTTTCCACAACAATTGTCACGATTTCAGGTTTATACAAGCCTGTAAACAAGATAATTTAACCCCTAAAATGTAGATGAATTCTGCATCGGCCCTCAAAGCTATTCCTCATATGACGTCACAGAGGCGCGCCGCTGTGATTGGTTGAAATTTCGTTCGCGGGTGAGAATTGTGCACTGTTGTCAAAAAGGTCGATTTAAGTCAATTAAAGGTCGAAATGAGTAGTTTTAATGACGGGGTTTCATTTATAACGATGCCAGTTAGTGATTTATGTATTTGTACCCCCTAGGGTTTATTTGACCTTTAAAACCCCGCAGATCTTAAGTTTTTTCTTGACATTTGTTACAAAAAATTAAAAGTCGGACTTTTTTCCTTGGCAAATTTTGTACTTTTTAACCGGACGGGTACTTTTTTCCAAGGACTGCTTTTACAAACACCAACGTCCACTCAGCAGTATGTAGATACTAGTCAATGTACATCTTTATATTTGGTCTTATAATCCTAATTAGTTTCTAATCATACGTGTATGCATTTATAAACTTAATAAAAAGCAGGCCATCTGCTGATACTTATAGTGAATTTATAACAGGACTGTAATATCTAGACATTTTCAATGTCAATCATAATTCGCACACACGCCCTAGTGTATGTTGTCTGTCTCATTACACTTCACGGCGAAAACAATGATTCTGTTGAATGCTACGACAAATGAATAAAAACAAAATGCAAATATTAACATTAAAACTGATTAAAGTTATAGGAACCATGTCAGGCTATTGCCTTGTTCGAGGAATGTATCCATCAATATCCACATAAACGAGTGACATGCCATTCATCGGCAAATGATGTGTCTATTAACAGTCTAATATGCGAAAAAGTGATATATCGTTTCAGGATTTTCACATTGGTGTATAGTCTCATTGGTCACCCAAGATAGCACACCTGGCAACTAATTGCATAATGTCCGCCATTCTTAAAAAAAGTAATTTAGTTAGCCAATAATGAGCAATCAATCGATGTATTGGCGGTTAATCCTTTGAAAGAAGGACGTTGTTTTTATACAGACACTTTAAGACAGAGTGTATTCAGTATAGATTAGTAAATCTACATACATAAACACTATCTTTTGACAAATCCGCTGTGCAAGATAAAAGTAATTTATCAATCGGCGTGTTATTGGTTAATCCTTTGATCGATGTTTGCCTTTGATCGACTCGGCTGATGCGCATGCGCATGTTACATAACATGTAATTCATTTTCCATATCAGAACTTTATTTATAATGTTGAGTATGTACTCCAGACACAAGAAATGCCAAATGGGATCCTTTGTCGGGTAATCTAAGTGGTTTTACCACTAATTATACCTGTAATAAATTCATTAACTGACCATCAATTGAATGATGACCAATAACGTGTAGGTTTATGGTAACCGGACAAAATCCACCCCAAAATTGCCACCCCGGACAAAATCCACCTCTTCTTAACAGAAAATGGACAAAATCCACCCTTTTCAAATTGCTGTAGTTAAAAGTTTTAGTGTGTCCTGATCTTTGATCAAGATGTTTTTCTCAAGCATTGCAAGCACTGGTTTGATAGCATTTACGTTTTCCTAATTGGCTGTTGTTCCTAGATGTTGTTTCAAACATTAAAGGTTTCTCCATTTCTCACATTTTGATCACTACTTAATCCCCTTTCATGTATCATTAAGTAGTCTCACACTTTGATCATTACTTAATTCCCTTTCATGTATAATTAAAGAATTAAGATGTTTTTGAAAGCCTGATTGGAGCCATTTATACTCATGTTTTGATAGAACATACTTTTTAATGAGTTCGAGATCATCCTGTTTATTTTAAATGGGTTTGAGATCATCTAGTTAAGGTACCAGGCTTCTATAGTATATATATAGTTTGTGTCAAAAATGCAAATTCACCATACATCATGGAAGTGATACGGAACAACAAGGGTGGTTCGAAGCTGCTATATCAAGGTTATTCGTACATAAAGAAGAAAAAGAGCAAGTCAACAATTAGGTGGGAGTGTCTTGCAAGGGTTCAGTGACCACAGACATGGAAGTGAAGAAGGAAGTACGGACAACCGACCACTGCCACACCCCAGATCCCAGCGCTTCCGCGGCCCTCAAGTTGCGGTCAGAGATGAAGCAGAAGGCCAGTACATCCCGAGAGACACCAAACCAGGTTCTTCTAGACTCCGCTACTTCCAATCCAGTAGAAGTTAGAGCAGCTTTAGGTGAAAGTGATTCCGTAAAACGTGATCTCCGACGTCACAGAGCCAAGCAGTTTCCTGCTACATGTAATCCTACAACACTTGCCGACTTGAAAATTGAAGATGAGTTGTACTTTATATATTGTTTAAACAATATTTTCCCAAAATTCATAACTCAAACTAGCTACCAAGAAGTACTTCAAGCAGTTGTAGATAAATGTAACGAACTCGGTTTCGAACCAGATCCTTCTGTTATTGTAACAGACTTTGAGTTGGCTGCCATCAATGCTGTATCTGTTGTGTTAGGTTCCCATGTAAATGTTCATGGGTGTTTCTATCACCTCACCCAAAGTACGTGGCGTAAGATACAATCCCTAGGTCTAATATTTTGGTTGTTTTTTTTATCGATTATGAATGTGACTATGAATAAAACATTTCTGTGTAAACATGTATTTTTTTTCTTAGGGTGGAATTTATTAGGGGTGGATTTTGTCCTAGGTTGCAATTTTGGGGTGGATTTTGTCCGGGTGGATTTTGTCCTGGATTCTAGGTTTATACCACCTAACACGGGTTGCAACAAGGGAGTATTAATTGCTGTATTATGGGCAATTAATTAATTGCTTATGGGACGACACTGTTTTGAGAATACGAACAGAACTTCATTGTTGCATAAGAAATACATATAAACATTTGCTGTCTGCTAAAACTGTATGTACCTATTTACCTATGCAAATTTTCAGATTCTTCTAGCAATAGCAAAGTGGGGTTGCTTAGTTTACGGATTCAAATAAATCAAATGTCAATTTTTAATATCATACGTAATAGACGTCATATGTTTACATGACATGATTAAATATCGAGGTAAAAAAACCCACAGATATTAGATCACTTTGGATCAGTCATTATACCATCCAGGCATTAGAAAACCTGAAAAAGCACACACTGCTTTGATACTTTATTACAATCAGACAAGAACTACCGGGGATATTTTCAAATAAAAGCATCTGATGGGCATTCACCCTTCCTTATGTCGCACTGTTTAGGTTGAAGAAATTAACCGTAACCGTGATGAGCGAGGCTGATCATCGCGTTCTGCCTCGAACAAATAAGGCCTAGCGACACCAAGCGATTTTGACAGAATCGTCAATGAAAACAAGTTGTAACTCGGAAGCTAGGCAAAGCAGGTGACAAAATTAAATGGCAGTAGATTGTGAGAACATATAGCTTTAATTTGTCACACAATTTTCACGATTTCAGGTTTATACAAACCTGTAAACAAGATAATTTACCCCCTGAAATGTACATGAATTCTACATCGGCCCTCAAATGTATTCCTCACATTACGGGGTTTCATTTATAACGATGCCAAGAAGTGATTTATGTATTTGTACCCCCTAGAGTATGTGATCTTTAAGCGACGTTCACTTACTCGCCACTTACCGAGCACGAATGCAATCATGAACAAAGCCGTGGAGGAGAGGGCGTTGATGACACGGATGACGATGAACACGTAGATGTTGGGACTGAATGACGTCACAATGGCCGAGATCGCCTGCAGCCCGACGCTGATGAAAAATGTTATTTTACGTCCAATACTGAAAGAAAACAAATCTTTTATAATGGTGAAGAGTGTCTATGTTGTTTGTTTGCTTTTTACGCCGCACTCAGCAATATTCCAGCTGTATGGCGGCGATCTGTAAATTATCGAGTATCAGAGAATCCAGTGATCAACAGCATGAGCATAGCATGATCTACATTATTGGCATAAGATGAACTAGTCGGCGAGCCTGACCACCAGATCCCGTTAGTCGTGTGTTACAACAAGCATGAATCGCTGGAGACCTTCTCTGTCCAGGATGTTCATGGGACGACATGACGAGAAAATGGAAACTCACAGATCTGACACGAGTCCCATAACAAATGCGCCAACCAGACTTCCAGCAAACACCGCCATGTTGGAATGCGCTCGAAGGATACGTTTGTCACAGACGATATTGAACTGAAATATAGATAAAAAATTCCAAAGTTACCGATCTAATTTTTCATCCTATCACCGTCGTAAAGACGTGTAACATAATCTATCACGGTAAAATGACTGATAGATGTACCTAACAGGTCGAAAAGACTAACATGGGGTTTGGGGTGGGCTGTGCCCTTATAACTTCTGCATGCACACATGTATTAAAGGGACTATCCCTAATAACATGTCCGTACCATTAAAACTACTGCATGCCTGCACGCCTGTGCCTATTAGAAATAAGTTTGCTAAATAGTGTTCGTTTGCATGCTTATACCTAGCGGGAGTTCCCTATGACCACTGCATATTCGCACTCATGTACCAATCAGGGCCAAGATTTTCGAAGCTCTCTTATCGCTAAGATAGTCGTAAGTTCCATTCATTAACATTAACTTACGGCTATCTTAGCGCTAAGAGATCTTCGAAAATCTTGGTCCAGAAGTAAGAATAACAAATGGTGCTCGTTTGCACGCTTATACCTAGCGGGAGTTCTAGTTGCTGTTGCACGCTTGCACACTTGTAAGCAACAGGACTGCCTCCTGTTAGCAATTGTGTGTTTGCAAGCTTGTCCCCAACCCAAAGCAAATACATTTTGTATATTGCATCCCCTTTGACCAATGGATAGCAAATAATCTCTTCATGGGAAGGAAAGCGACGGGACATACAAGGAATGGTATTTACTGTGTACCTCCGTTATAATATTCTCCTGGATATCTGAAGTGTCGTACACCCATCTGCTGCACGTCTCAGTTTCGTTGCTATCGCCACTGTCGTTCATGGGAGTCTTGTATAGGAGGCATGATGAAAGAGTTAATTTACCGTCTTCTTTCACGTAAGGGATTGACTGGTTCACAAGCCTCGAGTGACTCTCTCCCTGGCTGTGGAATGTATCGTTCGGGGAGATAGCACATCTGTAAGGAGGTCAGAAAAACCTTCATTGGACCACCATCGGTGTTGAAGCAGTAATCCATTCATATGACATCACATATGAGATATGATGCGATATGATTTGATTTGATGTGATGTGATGTGATGTGCTGTGATATGATAATTATATATTTAGCCTTTTGATATATATTTACCGCAGATATGTTCAAAGGTGAAACACTAACTTAACCAGAATTCTCTACGTGAAATTCGGTGCAACACCAACAAACACGAAACGTTGTCTTACAATTAACAATTGTATTATACAAGAAAATTGATATTCTAATAACATACTGTGAGAAATGGGAATTAGTAATAAATCCTAAGTAAACGAAATTTGTAGTTTTAAAAAAGGTAAAATGGTTTTTTTAAGGGCGAAAAATTAGAAGTCTTTATTAACGTCTTATTATAAATATCCAGGCATTGTCTTTTCCTGCATGAACATGTTTACTGAAGCATGTGAGACATTATCGCAACGGTTACCCTCCCAACAGGCTGAAAAAGCATTATTCCCAATCAACCGTTTCATGAATAAATTCAAAAGCTTGCCTCTGAATGCGGCATTCAAGCTATTTGAAGGGAAAATTAAACCGATTCTGTTATAGTCCGCAGGGTTATGGGGTTGGGTAACCCGAAAACCTATTGAAAAGGTCAACACAAGCTTTTGTAAAAATGTTTTACAAGTTGGCTCTAGATCACCAAACAAAGCAATTTTAGCTGAGTGCGGCAGATATCCGTTAAGTTTGCACGCCAGCGTTCAAATACTGACATTTTGATCAGGCTTCTCCACCAACCATCGTAACTTATATACCAAGAAGCGTCATGAAATGTTAAAAAGATTTGACGAATCTGGCGACGAAAACGGGTTTCGAAAGTACGTATACGGAAAGTTTTGGGATGTGGAAGTTTTGGGATATATCAAATATGTAACAAAAGCTACTTTCGAGACAAATGTTTCAGCAACGATGTAAAGACGCATATTTCCAAGAGTGGAGAAACGATTTCATAGTAAACTCTCAAAGTCTTAAATTTTATTCCATGATTAAACAAGACTACTACTAAATATTTATCTATCTATTAACACGGAAAAACTAGACAAAGTTTTACCAATATTTATAACGATATGCGTTATTGAAACCTGGAAATATTACAGACTAACCGACCACGTTCCTCAATCTTAACCTGCCAAGGGTCACATTGATAACGAGGATCAGACTAAATCCGGGACCAGTATCTCTAAAGCTAACAGAACCAAGGTGCATTACGTTTATCTGTCTTTACGGCTGTTTGTATTCCACGTTGGTCAAATCACGTGCGTGCCACATATACCTTCGTGGCATCCTCGCGACTGGCCATCGTTGCTTCGGTCCAACTAAATGACATAATCTCACGTTCACAATAACAACGTTATCGTAAGTTTTATCTGTAAACGCGATTATTTGCGATAGCTAGACTAGATATATATTACGGATGACAGTCACAAATCAGGGGGTGGCTGTCTAGTAAATCCACTCAGGTATGTAACTTTACTTTCTTCAAGTTCGATAAATCTTTACCATTGCTATTCTATGTTAACTTTAATCTATTGTAAATACCTTAACTATAAGTTACCACCCTTGGCAGTCCCTTCAGGTTTATGTGGAACGAGGCATCCCTTAGTATGTGTCTCATATCTTCTGTATTACAGTGTAGGATTGTATATTTAATACTGATTAGCACTAAGCTGTTTGTGACTATTACAGAATGTATAGAGTGTGTCGGGTATCCTAACTATTGCATTACGTGCAAACACGATGTTGTTTATTGACTGTTGTAGAATGTACATTGTATGAACGCCCACTGGGGTGATGTCTAGAGTGTATAGAGTGTGTATCCTAACTAGTACATTGCGTTATGAGCAATATGCTGTTTTGTGCGGTATGAACGCCCACTGGGTTGGTGTGTAGAGTATTGAACAATCACATTACGTTGTATACTTTTGAATGTATATCATGATTAATGTAGTATGTGTAACGAATCCAAGTGTGATGTTTATGTACTTTGATAGGTGATTACAGTGTTAACATGTTCTAATAATTAATTATAAACCATACCATTATTGGTTGATTATGTGAATGATCCTGTGACTGCTGTGTAATAAACTCCTTGTTTATTTACTCAGGTGTTGTGTTGTGTGTGGGTTGGTATAGTCATACCTCTTGCCAAGCGAGCTAATTCCCCAACACTCGCGTTTTAACATATCAATAATGCCGGTTCACGGAGATGTAGCCTGACAAAGCTACGTTGTAATATACATGGTGTCAATATGAATTCTTATAGATATCATGAAAATTAGATACGTCGTGTTCTTATTGTAAAGCACAGATGGAAGATGAACTCCATGCCATCATTCTGGTATGCCCAGCTTGTAACGATTTGCGTATCAAATACATTCCAGCCTATTATTATCACCACCCAAATATGTATGAACTGATCTACTTGTTCACCAATGGTGATAACGATAAGCTATTTAACCTTTGTATTTTCATTGATAAGGTGTTTAAATAATAAGAAATAACCTATATTACGTAAAATTCAAATACATTTTGTTATGTTCACTCATATTTTATACATGTTGTACTGTTGGCCTCGTGGTATGTATACGGAATAAACTGAATGAAAAATGAATGAATGAAAGATACAATAATAGTGCAGAATGTCGTGACACTGTGTGGAGTGACACTCCAAGGACAGTGCAATTTCGATATTGGAACAGCCCTGCAGTGGCAATGATAACAGCCACAAGGTCAGAGACAATATAGCAACAACATTGTGCGAGCTTCCAAACAGGCCAAGGATGGATATTCAAAACTTGGGTATAGCAATATCAGGGTGTCACTTACTTTCAGTCAGTTTTAACAAAGCATTTATGATATTTTTTCTTTAAAGCGATAGATGTTGTGTTGTGGTGTGATCTATGATGTTTCTACAGCATTCCATGTGTATTTAGTTCTTATGTAAATATTATTTTGGTTTGGTTACGTGATGCTCTTATGTAAAAACTAATTCCCATAAGGAAATTATGAGTTATATATAAGACGATAACATAAGATGACTGTGAATTTCCTATATATTATATAAAGCAAAAAACAACAATTGTGGCTCATGTATTTATTTATAATTTATACTTGTTTCTACCGGAGCATTTGTAACGTTGTAGCATGTTATTTCATTTTAAAACACTAAAACACATATTAATCGCACAATGTTGAGTAATCTTGTCAAAATATAGATACAGAAATGCGGCAAAGTAAAGGGAGTACCTGTGTTTTGGAATATCCAGGAGAAAAAGTGGAAGCATAGCCTGAATAGCAGAAAAGATGGCGGGAACGCACACGAGGACGTACATACGCCTCTGGTACGGTCCGAACTCCCCCACGTGGGTCAGGATATCATCGAATTTCATCTTCAGATCAGACAGATCAAATAACCTTTCTCAGTTGATCAGAGGACCTAATTAGTCTCCAAGCAGGGGTAATCCACCGTCAGTGGGTGTACAGATGATTCCCTCAATCCACACACCTGTTCTGGATATGGAAACACATTTGATCTTACGTGACCCAAGGTTTGTTATCAGGGTCGGCACACACGATGTCCAGGTCAAATCACTGATAACGTTCAAGTATGTGAACAATCATTGTACATGTAGGTCACACGCGAGAAACCATTTATCACCCACGCGTCCCAGATGTCAGTTTGATATTATTAGGAACATCCTTGATTCAGCGCTTTGACTAACAAGAATAAAATGAGTGAATATATCGGACTTATTGGCAGTTGTGAAACATTTGACATCCAAAATATATATGCCTAGTTAGTCACATACAAATCCTGAAACAAAATATCCAATACAGCCCATGCCAGTCTAGTATATGTGTAGTTGGTGTCTTACAGTACATTGGTTGCAGTACACTGATGTTGTGGACGTCATTTTTACATTGTTGTTAGGTCACCAACGTTTCACCGTACTTTCCAGCACTTTCTCTGATGTTAGCTTAAACAGCCCACCTTACCTGTTGTCTGCTAAATGCATCCTGGCACATTGTGTCCTGTTGGTGAAGAGGCAGGCTACTGGCTGCCCTCTATCAAAACTGCATGGTGCCCAGCATACACCATGTCGGACATTTACTGTAACATGTCATTTGTTATAATTCACACGGATGGTGAATGTTGACCAAACGCTGGATTGTGTTATCCAATCATGCATCTGCATCAGTGGCTGACTGGGGTTAAAATACCGATACTTTATGGCGGTACGATTCCCCTGAATGACAATCAACTGAGATCGACCGTTGGCACAAAATGCTCCCAAAAGCATTACGGTCTCTCCCCTCCCTGCTCCAAAACTACCACAAATCGGCGAACCTCACACATACACATGCGTGACTTTCCCCCGTCCTGTGACACACCTGTACCCTACCACCGGCAAAGCGCAATGTGTGACTCGTCACTGAAAACAATCCTGTTCCATTGCCTCTGGCTGAATCTGGCATTTCAGCATACCAATCGCAATCGTTGAAACTGCGTGAAGTTCCTGCGTTTGGTCGTCTAGCTGGGATACCTGCGGTACCAAATCTACCCTGATGGTCTGTGTTGACATTGTACCTCTGACCAACTGTCTTCTAGTGAAGTTTGCGGTGACAAATATGTTGCTGTGATTACGTAACCTGACTTATAGGTATGTTATCTTGGTGTGACGTCACAGACCTTGGGTGATCTGCACAGTGACAGTCGTACACGGACAATGAGACTGTGTATTGTCTGACGACTACAGTCCACGGTTCATGCAACTGATATCCAGGGTTGGGCCTACATGTGGCACACCCATGCTGCTGATTTGTGATTTACTAGCTTTTTCCTCATTAATCTGACAACTTTTAGCTGTTTAGCAGTGTATGAAATACGCTTCCAACCGCAGAGACGTTCTAGATTTCTGACGGACGGTCTATAATTTACAGCTAGCTAGGTCGATGGTCGGGTGAAAAGTTTAGATGTTCCATACATACATTCACCATATCTTGGTGTCTGGTCTGGCTAAATCCATTTTGGGCTGGTAACATTTTGAAGTTACCAGCCCTGATGTCTGGCTGGGTTTTGGGCTTTTTTAATACACTGTGTTTAGTAATGTGCTTGTAAACTAATTCACACGCGGTCGCTATGAAAATTACGTGACTTGCTGCTTGTGATTGATGTGCTTCACGCATGTTTCGAGCTTTAGGACCACATTTTTGACCAAATGGCCTGTATGTCTTTGCCTGGTGTATGGCACAACAAGAAACTAAGCAGAATTACCCTTCTCACAATTACTACCAATAATGTGGGTATGTTCTAATTTTGTTGAGTATACAATGCATGGTTTTTCAAACTCCAGTGTGTAACTATCACTATACCGCTCCCAGATGAGCTGAATGGAACTTGTCAGGCTATCGGAGTAGCAGCCATTGTGCGCGTATAGGGCCATGGTACATGAGGAGAGCACCTGTTACCGGGGAGATGGACATATTGATGAGGCATGGGTGCACCTGACAGGTGTCCTCCTTTAGAGCCAGGGAGCACCTGTACAATATATATAGCTGCATGGGGTGATCATCAAAATCTCTACTGAAGTCCAGAAGGCTGCCAGTTCCTATTGGGAACCATTGAAACTACTCTTCCATTAAGAAGCACACGGTCAAGAAAATTCAAGTTACACCAGGAGGTGTATTATCACTAGTATATAACAGTAAAACGTAGTGACTTTTTGACAGTTCCATATAAAATCCGGGCTAAATATCGCTAATGAAGCACGAGACTTTATGAATAACGACTTCATGTTTATTGCATTGAACGATGCTTCGCTTTTCAAGATACATATGGTCAGGCTACCGATGAAATACTTACCGATGACAAAAGATGATACAAATATGACACTATCTGATACTGATGGCGATTCATAAACACATGCTTATGATATAATGGAAATCGTATTATGTACTCTGCTTTAAGAATGGACATATTTCAAATTGTTTCTATTTAATATTTTACATGGCAAGTAAGATGTGTATAGTAGTCCTCCATTGCAATTAGCCCACATCTATCCCTTGGCGTTTCTCACCCGTGACTCATACAAGGACCATTTTAGCGTGCATACACACACAAGTTGTGAGATGCAACAATAATCTGTCGGGAAATCATGTAAATGTTTCTTCCTTTGTTCTTTGTAGCAATATTTGAACAAGAGAGAACAATGTTATACGCTGCCTTTTGTATGTACTACTAGTATAAAACGGGAGTAAGTGGGCATACTATTTAGTGGAGGGGTGGAAATAATACATACTCTTATTCTTATTTATATTATTTTAATAGTCTAACAACTGGCGCCCCGGTTTGCCGTGTCACACAACATGACAATTACAAATTGCCATATGTCATATGATGACAATTACGTCATCATATAAAATGGTGTTTTGGATCAGATTTCATTCTTGCAGTGTTATAATCAAGCATTCTTTAACAGACAACAAGAATCGTTTTTGTTTGATTGTATCCCCTTTGTGTGGGACAATTTCTATATTCTATCCATGCCATGTTTCTGTACAGATGTGTACAAATCTGTGAAACAATTGGACGATGGTTAATAGTGAAAAGGATGATCGCTTAGGCCTAATCAGTAAGAGGTCACAATCCCGGAAAGATATTCCACCCAAATCATGAGATCCTCCTCCTGCCGATCAACATATGCACCACAGCCACGATTGAATTAGTTCAGATCAGGTCAGGCAAAGGGCTGTCTTAGGAACAGAACAGAGTAATTTCAGCACAACTTAATACATGTAATGCACAAATGGTCACAGTAGGTGGTTGTCAGTTGACAGTAAGGACCGATAATCCTTGCAGGAATAACAAATGTCCGATCTAATCATCCCCAAATTAACCAACTATTACGACTGTCAACAGATGTAACAGCCAAGCATGGGTATACACTTTGTCCGGTCTAGTAAAGTCATATTTGGCTGTCGCGCAATTCAATTTGGAACCATAACTGGTTCTTGAATATACACTTGTCACGGGCCCTATACACAATGTTTTGGTTCTCTATCTATAAAATATCTTAAGTTTCTTCCGTCGGTTCCAGAAGGCATGCCGTACGTTGGCAATTCTCCATTTCGACATCCGTGGTTTTATCATGCCGCGCTCTTGGGAACCAAGCACTCCGTTTTAGCACATTTCCTGAGAACAGAAAAACGTAACATAAGGAAAAGTAACAACTAACAAATATTATGCAGTCAGGATTGTATAATTCTACGGCATGATCCAATGCATGAATATGAATAACATAAATGTACTACAATGACATGTTTACTAAAAGAAGACATCCCTACTGGCAGTATTTGCACTCCCCTTCTTAATACATTAGGACCAGTTTTTATTTGAATATGAATTGCAATTGCACATGTGAAAGTCAACCTTGAAAAATTCAAAAGTTCTACTTGAAGTTACAAATTGCAGAAGTTTAAAACTTTAGATGTTTCAATCTCCTTGTTGTTGGAGGTGTTCTGGATGTTGCTCCTTAGCAAACTTTGAATCTGATGGTATGCCTGTACATTTCAATACTCAGCAGAGTTACCTTTCTTTCGGTTTATCCCACACTGCTAGGAAGAATCTCATTTATTTCCATGTATTACAACGCGATACGGTGACAGGATCCTGTATAAGAATTACAGTCTGTACGCGTTCTTGAAGTCATCGGTGCCATTTGCAATCCTAGTGTAGTCTTATCATAAAAGTATCAGTTGTTAATTCACATATCTAACTTCAAGTCAGTTACAATAACTTTGCCTTTCAGTATATAATAACAGTTTTTTAATCAACGCACATTAGCTCAGTGAAAGTTAATTATTACTGGCAGTGTGTAAACATGGTAGATAACATATTGTGGGGGTGGGGTGACATTTCCTTGCATATCGAACTGCCATGAACCGTTGAAAATCGAGATGTAACTATCCTCACGTGCTCCATACGTTATTGTTCAATGATTTACCATAACAATTTCTCTGACACAACCCGTACCAGAGAAAAGGAGACAAAGAGCCACTCCCTGAAATTAGTTCAAACTATATTGAAGAAAGTTTTTTAAATGAGACGACGTCTGTTAACAATTAGTCATGAAAGCGAAAAGAATGATTTCCCCACATATTTAATAAGGTTGCAGTTTGCAAGTCGTCAGCATTTGACTACTTTTTATGCGTACAATACGCCGATACGGCATTCATCTGGAACAATGATACGCGCAAAGACGTTGGTTTTCAGCTCAAACGTTTTGTGGGCACCATCGATTTGAATAATCTATATGTTATTTCAGGACCCGCTTCGTATATTACACCAGAGACCATATAATATAATATCTATTATATGGTCTCTGATTACACAGTGGCGAAAGAGGGTCATCCTAATGATGAATATAATATATAATATAATATAATATAATATAATATAATATCATATAATATCATATAATATCATATAATATAATATCATATCATATCATATCATATCATATCATATATCATATCATACATATCATACAATATCATATCATATCATATCATATCATATAAACATAGGTCTACGGCGAGTTGGGTGTATTACCGTTGTTATCTGAAAGATTGATACGAATTGTAAAATACTGGCTGAAAGTAATATCTTGCAAAGAAGACAGATATGTACCTATTATTTACAGAATGTTATTAAAAATCTCAAATGCACACCCTATATATTTGAATATTGGGTTCGTTTAGTTAAAAAATTGCTTTTTGAATACGGATTTGGCCATGTGTGCCTCTCACAGTATGTATCGGATATATTTAGATTTATATCCGAATTTAGCCAAAGAATAACTGATATTCATAATATTTTACAAATGTGGAAATCAAACCTCTCCAGTCTTAGTGAAACCAGATCTTATGGGCCGACACTGTTTTGAGAATACAAACAGAACTTAATTGTTGCATAAGAAATACGTATAAGCATTTGCTGTCTGCTAAAGCTGTATGTACCTATTTACCTAAGCAAATTTTCAGATTCTTCTAGCAATGGCAAAGTAGGGTTGTTTAGTTTACGGATTCAAATACATCAAATGTCAATTTTTAATATCATACGTAATAGACGTCATATTTTTACATGACATGATTAAATATCGAGGTAAAAAAACCGAGATGGGATCAATTTGGTTCAGTCATTATACCATCCAGGCATAAGAAAATCTGAAAAAGCCCACACTGCCCTGATACTTTATTACAATCAGACAAGAGCTACCGGGGATATTTTCAAATAACGACATCTGATGGGTATCCACCCATCTTAATGTCGCACTGTTTAGGTTGAAGAAATTAACCGAACCGTGATGAGCGAGACTGACCATCGTTTTCACTATCATCGCTTTCTGGCTTGAACAAATAAGGCCTAGCGACACCAAGCGATTTTGACAGAATCGTCTATGAAAACAAGTTTTAACTCGGAAACTAGGCAAAGCAGGTGACAAAATTAAATGACAGTAGATTGTGAGAACATATAGTTTCATTTTTCACAACTGTTGTCACGATTTCAGGTTTATACAAACCTGTAAACAAGATAATCTACCCCCTGAAATGTACATGAATTCTTCATCGGCCCTCATATCTATTCCTCATATGACTCAAAAGGGATATCTATTTCAAATCCCGAACTATGAAGGATCTTTTTACTAATATAAGTCCTCATTTAATTATTGCTTGTTAAAAAGAATTAAATTTGTTAACAGATTTGTAGATAGCTAAATATTTTAGGATTGGAAGTTTGAATTAGTAACACAGATTGTTAGTGGCTGTATCCTCGAGAGGGGTTAAAGTACTGTAAAATGATTGTCCTCCTGAGAGGGTACGTAAGTCCCAAAACATTCAAAGTAAACTTCAACTTTCCGTTTTTTAATCGTAGAATATGTGTAATTTTAATGTATGGCTAGATATATCTCAATTGCTAACAGCTGAGGGGATGATGTAAATCCAGCTAGGGCCCATGCAGGAAGCAAAAGTCCCCATGGTCCCTAGTGTGGTGATCCACCTTCAGTTGTTGGCAATCTATAGCCTGTTTTTATATTGTATTGTTATTTATAGTTCCAATATTTTAGATTTAATTGCCAGTTTTAAATGGATATCTGTGGTACACTAGTAGTTTTACTGTTCTTCATTAACAGGTTTTTTAATGTCCTACTTTATTGATCTATAATATAATTATAAACTGTTCTCGTCACGATATGGCTGAAATATTGCCGATGTGACGATAAATATTAACTCACTCACTCACTCCTCATATGACGTCACAAAGACGCGCCGCTCTGATTGGTTGAAATTTCGTTCGCGGGTGAGAATTGGGCACTGTTGTCAAAAAGGTCGATTTAAGTTCATTAAAGATCGGAATGAATAGTTTTAATGGCGGGGTTTCATTTATAACGATGCCACTTAGTGATTTATGTATTTGTACCCCCTAGAGTATATGTGACCTTTAAGGAGTCTCTGTATTTCGAAAAATACCTAACTGTTGTTAATATTACTACATATAGACTTGCGCTGTCCCGCTTTAGATTAAGTTTACACATGTCTATGATAGAAATAGGACGATGGAGTAATATGAAACTTCCCCATAGGCGACTTTGCCATTATAGTGGTAGTGATGTTGAAGACGAATACCATGTGTTATTAGTATGCCCTATCCTTGTCAAATATCGTAAACGTTAGTTGTCAACCTATAATTATTCACCTCCTAGTATGGTGAAATATGTCCATTTGATGAATAACCCGTGCTCAAATGTTATTTGAAGTTTATCAAAGTGTGTGTACCACATCATGAGTGTATATAAACAAAATGTAACTTGTTGAGTCAACTATTAATGTGCTTAGGCTATTGAAATATGTGAACCTACACACCACCCACAATTGTGATTTGAAATATTATGCTTTGTTTTGTTTTGGCCTTTGGCCTAGAAATAAAGAACTTGAACTATAAACGGTAGAATATGTTGACAATGTTACACGTGTGTTGTTGGCAATGTTACACGTGTGTTGTTGATAATGTTAAACAACTGTGTTGTATACAATGTTACACACGTGTGTTGTTGACAATGTTACACGTGTGTTGTTGATAATGTTAAACAACTGTGTTGTATACAATGTTACACACGTGTGTTGTTGACAATGTTAAACATCCATGTTGCATACAATGTTCACACGTGTGTTTTTCTGAATACCATTCAACTTTACATCTCCAGATGCTATCTTGCTTTTTGACGTCAGGTTGTATTTGGTGCTAGAGGTTGACCTGAAAGGAATGAAGAGTTATATTTATTATTCATCGTGGTGACGTCTCACTGTCAGCTCAATCAAATGTAGTTTGCCTGCGCAAAGTTGGTGCAAACGCATTTCCTTATATCTATCCGTCCTGTGTTTATGCTGCTTATATTGCAAGACGCAGATATTAAAATAAAGCTCACTAGCTATATATTGAAAACATACCACGAATGTTTTTTTTCCTTTGAAGACAAAATATCTTGGTCACAGATTGACAAAAATTTACTTTGGAACAAAGACGGAGAATATGGCTTTTGACATATTCTACCTTCATTCACTTTCCACTGTGAAAATTGCTTAAAATGCACTGTTTGTTTTATCAATATAAAGTGATATGAAACCGATTTGTTTACCAATAACAAGATAATTAATAACATTTCAAAGTCAAAGTATACGTCAGTATACACTCATATAGACAACTACATGAAGCATCTCCTGTAACACTCCAATAGTAGATTAAGAAAACACCTACTTTCCGAAGGTTTTGGCATCTTGAATGTTTTCGGGTAGCGTTGTGTTTAGGGTTTCCGGAAGTAAAAGGGAGAGACCCCCGGCCGCCATACATAACACGCCGAACACAATGAGTGGCAGCGCCACCTTCAGGTCGCCGCCAACGAGAAGACCCTGAAACACAGAATACATGTATAGAATATTTTGTTAATGTTGTCAAATAACATGTATATTGCATCGAGTGGTCTGTCAAAGTTGATATGTTCACGAGTGGCGCAGATGAAATTTGACAACATTATCAAAACATTCTATTTATTATATTTTGATCATTGTTTATAAATGATCGAGACATCGTTCGAGTAAGTCTGCATAACTCTTTAATCAGAAAGTAGTTCCAGACAAAAGTGATATTCTGCTCAGTGAAATAACATGTTATTTTACTCAGTGAAAATACCATGTTTATTTATTTACAGTATTTCACCCTTAAGAATATAATAAAAAGAATTACGAGGTTCAGTCACCTGAACAATTAAAAGGTAAAATACATAGATTATTAAGAATATAAAGAAAACGATGTAACTCGACAACAATGTGAGATACCGAACAGCCTATAACTGTGATATTAGTTGGTGGTGCCATGCGCCATTTATTGTAGCGAACTGTCCACTATCCAGTCATCCCGCCCGCCTTGACATGTTGCACGAACGTTCAAAGTGATGTTGACCATGGTTCATCTATGTTCAGTGAATACTTAAAATGTTTGAACATAAATTAACCTGGAGTTTTACGAACGATTAAATCCCGAAGTTGTAAATTTGAATATACTCATGGACAAAGTATCGCAACACCTATGATTTGTAACCCCCACAGAGCCATTTATATTACTATCATACTTATGTTTGTTTGAATTATTATTTTGTCCCTTCGGATGCACCATACATTGATTTTACACTATACATTGTTTCTGGAATGTGAGATCATGCGGAAGAGTCCACTGATCGGGCGAAAGTCAATGTCTTTTGCTCATGACGGAGACCACGTCTCGTGTTTGGTGCATATGCACAGCGGAACATGTTGCAGAAGGCACCGTTTATTGATGGTTTACTGATGGTGTACATGACTGTAAACTTGATCTTGTGCCGACAAGGCAAAATTTAAATGGGCAACTGACATCCTAGACAAGGTTGTTGTACCACAATTCCATGACCATCCTCTGGTCAGAAGGTCAGTCTTCATGGATGACAATTCTTGGGCACATCATGCCGTTGGTAATTTCTAAACAACTCTATAGCTATCTTGGCCCACCAAGAGTCCTGAACTCAATCCCACAGAACAGCTGAGTCATTATGGTCGCAGAATACTCCAGGGACCCGGTATGTGTTATATAACCCTCCATCAAGAATGGAACAGCACCTCAACGTCTAAATTCAACGTCTGATGCAGTAAATGAAGAGGGTAAGGGATTATAATGCATTTGGCCGAGATTACACTAGATATTGACATTGTGCTCGGTTATTGATACTCAGATGATCTCTTCTGGATTGTTAACGTCATATTAACCAGCACTACAATCTGATTAATTTGTTGCCATGTTTGCTTCTCGGATTACATTACAGTGTTTTGTTTATTGCGTTTAGATTTGCCATTTCATTATTCCGCGATTGTCAATTTATCCGAATAGTAAGTTAAATCGAGGTGCCCTTTGCTATGGCTAATGGTAACACATTAACATATGAAAAATATGGGATGTTGCGATACTTATTTCCACGTTTATATAGTGACCATTGAACTCTCCTTAAATGTGTCAGAAACATAAGCACTAGTAAAATATTTAATCACAAGATGGTAAGAAGTAAAACCAAGTATAATTTCACTTCACTTACCAGATCAGCAATATAGGGCGAGGTCATTCCGCCTATCTTTCCACAAGTAGAGCTGGCTCCCACGCCAGAGTTGCGTACAACGGTGGGCATGAGTTCGGCAGAAAAGACGTATATGATGGCGAAGGCAGCTGACACTCCGAGCTTCCCGATCATTGAGAGTAGGATGGTGACCCACGAGGGTGCTGGGACAATATTGACCGCAGTCGTTAGTGTTGATTGATTGACTGACTGACATTGTTTTCAAGCGTTATTAGATATAATTACTGATGTTACAACTGTGTAAACCATATTTCATATACAGACTCACACCATCTGGATACCTGAGATTCATCACACAACCCGATTAGTGTATATAATAACACATTTTGAAAGTTTTCAAATGACGAAAACAGGTTCCTTTATGTTATCCACTGTTTCATAAAGTAAAACTTTAGTACTTAAACATCCATGAAAAAATTAAAGCAGCTTAAAACGTTAAGTCAACTTCATTATGTTTTCACAATGCTTTGTAGATGTGGAGGAAGATCGGTGCAGTCGCTGCAGCAGCACAATACGCTGGATGCCATGGAATGTTTAATGACCTCGCTGATGGCAATATTTCAATGTTGACATATATATATATATATATATATATATATATATATATCCTCTTTCTCGTTAAGAGCACACATGACAATTCATTCTGTATTAAATACACTCGTAGTAGGGGTGTACACGGGTATGATTCGAACTTTTTAAAACTGGATACCAAGACAAAGTTAGTAGTAATCTGGATGCCTTGAGGGACACGAGGGAGAGATGGAACCCTTATGCATGAAAGGTTACATGAGCAATCTGGTGCTGTGCGGTAACGTTTGAGGCTGCAATGTCAGGGGATGGGGTTGTCACGAACCTTCATATATAACAGGGAACAGCACTGCCACACACGCCAACCCTCCCACTAACATACTGCTGCAGTGGAGCAGCTTCCTTCCAACTTTGTCCATCAGCAGTATACACGCCACGTATGACGCCGTCTCCGCGATGCTGGCGATGGTGTAGTTGAGGTAAATGTCGCCGCTCAGGTTCTGTACATTAAGTCCAAGACCGTAGTACGCTATGTTCACAACAAACCTGAAATAGAAAACAACCAGAAGGAGCGATTATCTACGTGAAAAGACTCAAAGACGACAACAGGCAGTTTGGGAAAGTGTGTGCGTGTGTACGAGCGTGACCCAAACTGAAAGACTGTGAAAGAGGATCATAATTATACATTTTAGATGTTTAAGAACTGTAAGGATTAAATACAAAAAGGCGCGGTGACAAGTAAGCTATAGGTATTTAAACTGATGTGCCGGACAAAAAGAATTCACATTTTACAATTGACAAATCACTTTGCTCATTATCGTGCACGATGAAACGATCTACAGTGGGCGTATATTTCTCTTTTTGCGCGGCAGTTCGTGCGATAACGTGTTTTTTAATCTAAGACTTTTAAATGACATGATTTCAACAAAATGATTTTCATGTTCTTTGGAAGCCACGTTTGCGGGCAGTAATAGTTCAGGGCCCCGATCTACAAAACATTCGTAGCGCTACGACATTCGTATGCCTACGGCAGGTCGTAATGTTACAACCAGTTTGTGGATCGGAACACAGGGCAGCATTTATGGCAAGGTATAGAGGAAACCTAACAATATTCACATTTCTTACAAGGATATCGCGAATGTTTTGTGGAAACTGGTAGTTCTAAACTTACTACCAATTAAAGCATATTGGGGTTTTAGATGATTATTTGATCAAAAAGGACATTGTTATTTGATTTTTTCACACTGCATTATACAAACAGCAAGAGCTTCTAATAATAACTATATCGTATACTACATGCCAGTTGAAGAAGATGATTAGGGTTCTGTTTCTGATGATCCTTGAGGTGAACAGTTGAGTAAACTTCCCTCGGTCTCCCTCATCAACGGTCAGCTCAGCCAACATTGAGGCTGGAAGTTCTACTCCGTTTTTCTTTGCCGCTTTCTGAATGATGACTTCCGCTTCCGCTTTGCGACCACGTGACAACAACCACCTTGAGGACTCTGGAATCAGCCTTAAGAAGTAACATTAAGCGTAGCTGATGTCTAGTGTGTGTGTGAGTTACGATATTTAGTCACATCGGCATTATTTCAGTCATATCTTGACTAAAACAAGTAATACATTTGTAACGTATGTTACAAGTAATACATTCGGAACACATTCAGGACAATAGAACCAACTAGAATATCACTGACATATATGTAAAACTAGCATGTTGAGCTCAAACTACATACAATATATAAACAGGCTATAGATCGCCAATAACTGAAGGGAGAACTCCATGGTTAGGACCATGGGGACTTACAGTACCTTTGCTTCCTGCATGGACCTTAGTTCGATTTACACAATCATTTCAGCGATTGTACTGTTAATCTATTTCAAGAATGAAAGTGTCGAAAATACGGACGTGATTCTTGTATTTTAGGTATTATTATACATAGAGTATGTGTTGGTCAGAACCCGCCTCATAGACTTGATGAACTATGCACTACACAAAACTTGACACACTGACCACATGTTTTGTGCCGTTGATAGTATCTGCGTATAACTGTTCAAATGAACATAATGAGCACAATGGAGATATGTAGATATGTCATGCTCTGAAATAACAGATTACATAGTATTGTCCTCTTTAACTGTACGTTATGTGACATATATATTCCTACTGACAGTGTCTATTAACAAAATTTGAGATAATGTTTAAGTACTTCAGCGTTTGGTGAAGGTCGTTCCGTCCGTTTATGTGAAGTTGGATTTGGCCTGACTTCGGAAAAAAATTCATCAGAAGGTAACGTACCACCACAATCCAAACAGGAGAGCGGAAGGCACTGAGATGACGAGCTGTAATGTCTTCCAGTAGCGGAGGGCGTAGGCAACCGCCCCCAGGATGAACATGCCCACACTCCAGAACAGCTGGACGCCTACCCCAGCCAACACTCGCTTAGATGGACCAACCATCTCAAGGCCTGAAAGCAGGAGAGAGTGCTGGCATATCATCTCGAATAACGTCACATATCCCCGTGTTAATGCGCTTCTGGTTGTCTTAGTTTGTTAACAAACTGTTTCCACAAGACCTGTCCGCAGCCTAAATTTTGTACATATATGAATAAACCCATGCATGTTTTTGTTCTATTTTCGTAAACATGCAGGAGCAGTAGGAAGAAAAAAGAGGACACCGATTGGTGTTGGCTTTAAATGTTGGAGACGCACAACGTTTGGACACACCGACCGTGCTGAGAAGAATTGGTATTCAGAACGTTCTCACTGAAAGTCATTACACTTCAACTCAAACTTCAAATGTTGTCACATCATAGTTATAGTTACACTGTATAAACAACAAAAGCTCTTAGTACTGCCCCTTTATACAATCTGTAATTATGAAATGTTGGCCAATGCATATGAAACCTTACTCGAAAGTGGCACGTGGAGTGTGAATCCATCTCACCCTGTACCAGCGGGTTGTATGGACGACCTTGACAGTTTGCCACCTTTGACGTTGAAATCCAGCTCACATCTTTTATTTTTTATTTTTATCTATGAAGTGCTAAACGATTGGACTTAAGATATATCATAAACGGTGGTATTACTTGAAATAGCAAGTCCATTAAGACATATATATACATGTATAGTATTCAAGCCTACTTGAGTCAAATCGCCCGCAACAACAATAATGGCGAAACATTTTCCGTGCCATACCGCGGCGGAAATAGAAGGAAACGAATTAAACCGTCTGACATACAGTAAAATTATCCAGCTTAAAGATCTAAAGGATCATGAATTCGTTACACGGCCATTTGCCAGGTAGTATGGGATGTTACTGACTGTTTGAATCCGCATTTCCCGAGGCCGTGTAACTAATAATACACTGCTCTTTTCTACTATCCCAGTATACAAGCTGCGAATATGAAATGTTAAAAAAGTCTGTGTGATTTTGAAGATAATGTTCATCAAGTAATTCCTTGACCATGATTCACATTATCTTCGAATTCACTATCCAGTATATATAGATGAAAAAACCTCTGACATAATTACATTAAATAATGAATCTGTCCAATATTTGGAATTATTTTCTGTACAAAAAACATCAGATAGATTATTCATGTCAGGAAAATATATTGAACATCATTGAAAAAGCACCAGTCTAAAATTGTCCATATTTTCATCAAGATGGATTTCAGAATGACAATGATTAATGAATATAACTAACATGAAGTCGAAGGGCATGTCCAGTTGAAAAAATGCTTCAGAAACAAATTCCTGTCCACAGTATGACTCTTGATTCAAAAATGCATCAACATGCAGCCACGACATGAAAAAAGCGCGAATTTCATTCTGAAATCATACTGACTGTGACATTAAAAGCAGGTGTATGAGAACCGATTCTCATTGCTTCACTGACGATTGTGAAACGAGGACAGAGATGCCGAGGTTAACACCTCACGAAAGAGAACGTGCACTAGGCATGATTCAGGTTGGCACCAGCAGCAGGGATATTGCTCGACAACTTGGACTTGGCCACTCCACCATCGTTAGGCTTCATAGACGACATCAGTAGATAGCCAACACCCGTGACCTTCAATGACCTTGGCAACAACGTGTTACGACGCTCCATCAGGATCGCCATATTGACCTTGTCCATATCAGTGATTGAACACTGCCGACTGCCAGGACTGCTGCACTAGTTCAAGGTTGACGTGGGGGTCATCAGTGCTGACTCCATGCGATGCCGTCTAAACGCTACAGGGCTGCATGCTCGACGTCCTTACGTTGGACCAATTCTGACTGACAGATACCGTAATGAGCGTATACAATGGGCTAGCAGGCATTTTCAGTAAAGGTTACAACAATGGCATGGTGTGGTAGTCACTGACGAGTCACGTCTTCAACTACGTAATGCTGACGGCCGATTACGTGTTTGACGTAGACGTGGTGAATTTTATGCTGATGAGTGTGTGGTTCAGACAGACCTTTGGGTAGTGGGAGTTTCATGGTCTGGGGTGGAATAAATTACAATCACAGGACTGCCTTCATGTCTGTCAAGGGAGAGTTAATGCCCTTTATTACCGTGAGCAGATTCTTCAGAATCACATCGTATCTGTCTTCAATCACCACCAATATGTCCATACTTTTCAACAGGACAACGCACGGGCACACACAACGAGACTTTCCATGCAGTATCTGGCCCAGCAACACATCCAGGTTATTCATTGGCCAGCACAGTCGCCAGATGTATCCCCCATGGAGCACTTGTGGGACGAAATTGGTCAAGGCTTTCGCGGCTACAACAGATGCGAAACATCCGGGAACTTGAGGCTGCACTACTGCAGAAGTGGAATGCCATCATCAAGAACTCTATTCGGACGCTTATTGACTCAATGAGGAGACGTTGAACTGCATGTGTCAATGCAAATGGCGGTCACACGCGATATTGACCTTTCGATTTGACCCCACGTGTGTTTGATCCTTTCTGACTGTGGAACATTTCAATGAATGAGCGTCTTTTCTGTGTTGTATTTGTCAGTCGTCCATCTGTTATTATCCACTCAAAAAATATCAATTCCTTACACGCTTTTAATAATCTGAACTTGTGGTGCGTTTTCAATGATGTTCAGTATATTTAAACACTTTCACAATTTGTCGTAGTTATTTGATGTAAAAGTTGACATCCATAAATCTTGCATTTTTCTCCATGCATTCCACTTCTAATGCCCTTCAAAGATTTGATTAGACTACCGGTGAAAGTGAATAATTTATAAGCAAACAGTCAGTAAATATGAGTATCACACACGAAGTACAACTTGAAACTGGGATGAAGAACAGTCCATTTAACTGTTTCAGTTAAGTTTGATAACGGACTGAAGATTTTACATCGTTTCATGCAATAATACGAAAAAACGTCATAATGAATACGTTCAACATACTACAATATTGGTAATCGAAACGTAAATTCTACTGGTTTCTAACCACGGGGAAAGTGTTGTTCTTGATAGACAGTGTTGCGCTGTTTGCCGAACATACATTGAATCACTGACTTCATTCGTGCAAATTGTATCCGATGTCGCCTTAAACAGTTGTACAGGCAGAAATATTTGAACTATTTTTACTTCCACGTATCTCTCTGATCATTGCACAGCAAATAGTGCCTACTGACATTGGTAGTGCTCCAACTACTTCCGTGACCACTCGTTTAAGAAACGCTGGTTCTCTCGAAGATGTCTTTTTGAACGCAAGCTCATGATTTCTTCTGAGGGACTGATATATGGTAGAGGATGATGTTTTTAGACTGTGGCGGTAATGTGCGTCCATACAGCTTAGCCAAGGCAAGCTCTACATTGTGTAAATGTTATTTTAAGAGAAAAAAAGTGTTTTTATTGTGTGTTGCCCACATTGAAAAACGTCTGTGAGTATCATGTTCCCAATCACTTATGTATCTAAATGTAACGCCTTGCAAGAATCATAACCTTTAGCCGATTAGATGTCTCCACTAATATGTTTTCGAAGATGCATAATTTCATTTCCGTCGGTATAGTTAGAATTACACCGATTGCAGCATTGAGCAACGTTCACCTACTCGCCACTTACCGAGCACGAATGCGATCATGAACAGAGACATGGAGGAGAGGGCGTTGATAAAACGGATGACGATGAACACGTAAATGTTGGGACTGAACGACGTCACAATGGCGGAGATCGCCTGCAGCCCGACGCTGATGAAAAATGTTATTTTACGTCCAATACTGAAAGAAAAGAAATCTTTTACAATGGTGAAGCGTGCTTGTGTTGTTTGATTGCTGTTTAACGCCGCGCTCAGCAATATTACAGCTATATGGCGGCAGTTTGTAAATAATCGAGACTGGACCAGACAATCCAGTGATGAGCTGCATGAGCAAATCATGATCTACGTTATTGGCATACGATGACATGTGTCAACCTAGTCAGTAAGCCTGACCACCCGAATCCGTTGGTCGCCTCACACATGGTTTGCTGGAGACCAATTGTAACCCTTTATAATCATGGGTGTGGTAAAGAGTGAATGGCGAATTGCATCAACTCAATGAACACTTGATGCGGTTAGTCGTGTGTTACAACAAGCATGGGTTGCTGGAGACCTCCTCTGTCCAGGATCTTCATGGGACGACATGAGAAGAAAATGGAAACTCACAGATCTGACACGAAACCCATAACAAATGCGCCAACCAGACTTCCAGCATACACTGCCATGTTGGAATGCGCTCGAAGGATACGTCTGTCACAGACGATATTGAACTGAAATATAGATACAAATTCCAAAGTTATCCATCTAATTTCTCAACTGTAATAGGGGGAGGTATTGAGAAGAACGTCAGACATTAGTTGACCCACTTTAACACTTTAGCCAAGTTAAAAACAGATAATTGACCTAGTTGAATACCTGTCATTCTATTTTTAGAACAGCTCCGAGTAACATTCTATATTTAGATATGACTCAAGTGCTCTTTTTAGATATGACTCAAGTACTATTTATCTGAATCATTTAACTATTAATAGAGTCATTCCTAAATATATTCTGTTACTAGGGGCCTATTCTGAAAATAGAATGACAGGTATTCGTCTACACCAATTATCTATTTTTAACTTGGCTAAAGCGGTCATCCAGGTGTTTAACTGGGCAACACAATGTCTCACTTTTCTTCGCATAAGACGTGCAACAGAACCTTGCCAAGGTAAAATGATCGATATATATACCTAACAGATCGAACAGACTAACATGGGGAGGGGATGGGTTGTAGGCTTATAACACCTGCTTGCAAGCACACATGTATTAAAGGGACTATCCCAATAAGATGTCCGTTCCATTACAACTATTGCATTGGTACACGCATCTGCCTATCAGAAATATGTATACTAAATAGTGCTATTTCCACGCGTTTACCTAGCGAGAGCTCCCCCTATAAGTCTTGCAAGTTTGCACGCATGTGCCAATCTGGAGTAAGGATAATGAATTTTGCTTGTTTGCA